GAGGGAGGGAGGATGGGAGGGAAGGAGGGGGAGGAGGGGGGAGGGAGGGCGGGAGGACGGGAGGAGGGAGGGAGGAGGCGAGGAGGGAGGAGGAGGGAGGGAGGAGGAGGGAGGAGGGAGGAGCGCGGGCGGGAGGAGCGAGGAGGGAGGAGGCATCAGCCACACCGAGATCCACACCTTCCTCTGCGACGCCCGGAACCAGGCCGCGAGCCGCCACGCCCGCACCCTGGCGGAGCTGGAGGCTGTCGGCGCCCCCAGCAGGGCGGTCGGGGGCCACGAGCTGGACGACTCGCCGCTGCTGACGGCCGGCGAGCTGGCGGCGGTGCTCCGCGAGGACCCGCTGGCGCCGCTGCTCTTCAGCTCGGACCTGGGCGTCAAGGGCGGCGGGCGCCGGCAGCGGGGAGACCCAAGGGGCACCGATGCCCTCAGGCGAGCGCAAAGCACGGATCGATCAGGGGGGCGCGGATCGGCGACGGGCCCCGCTTCCGTGGGGGCTTCGGGGAGTTCCGCCGCCGAGCGAGGCGGCACCGGCCGCATTTGGGGGGAGGGCACCTCCCCCGATCCATGGATTTGGCGACCGCGCGCCAAATCCATGGATCGCTAATCCATGTTTGCGCGCCCCCCCGCCCACCGGGAGCAAGAGGAGGAGGAGAAGGAGGAGGAGGAGGAGGAAGCGGATGGAGGAGGAGGAGGCGGATGGAGGAGGAGGAGGAGGAGGAGGAAGAGGATCGGGAGGCGGAGGAGGCGCGGATGGAGGAGGAGGGACGGAGGAGGGAGGAGGCAGAGGAGGAGGAGGAGGAGGAGGAGGAGGAGGAGGAGGGCGGAGGAGAGGAGAGGATGGAGGAGGAGGAGGAGGAGGAGGAGGAGGAGGAGAAGCAGGGAGGTCAAGAGGGCAGCGGGGAGTCTCAAAAAGGGCCCCGACACCGCGACCCGAAGACGACGAAACGCCATAGAGCCATAGACTTCTGGCGCTCCGCGCGGACGTCTCGGATCCGCGCCCGGGCGCCGCCCCGGCGGCACCGCCGGCGCCCCTCCCTGGCGCGCTCCGTGCGCCAGGGGCGGCGGGGGTCCAGCGCAGATCCAAGAACCCGCGCGGAGCGCCAAAAGTTTCTATGTGTGGTGCTTGTCTTCTTATTGTTTGTAGTATTATTATTGTTATGCTCATTCTTATTATTAGCATAAGTCTTATTATTAGTGTAGGTAGTATTAGCATCATTATTATTAGTGTTATTATTAGTAATATTATCATTATTATTACTACAATTATTTTAGCATTTCATTATCAGTATTATCAGTATTATTATCACGATGATTAACACTACTCATATTATTATTGTCCTTCTTCTTCTTCTTCAGACCTCTCCCGTGGCGCGCCATGGCCAGAACTGCGAGGCGAGCCCGGCCCAAGCAACAGGCGGAACAAAATCGCATGCGGTGTATCGGTGCTTCTTCTTTTTATATCGTTGGTATGGTTGTTGTTGGGAGTCTTAGTATCAATGATAGTACTGTGGTTTGTTTTATTGCTTCTAGTGTTATTAGTGTTATTAGTGTGCTTTTTGTGTGTCGTATCACTCGACTTCTTCTTTTTCTCATTATTAGTCTTGTGATTATTCTTCTTCTGCCACCGAGGCAGACGGCGTGGACCCCGTGCCTGGGCACCGCGCTGCGCTTCCGGCTGCTGACGCGACAGGTTTCTTGGACCGCCGCCGCCGCCGCCGGTGTCGTCGTCGTCGCCGTCGTCGTCGTCGTCGTCGTCATCGCCGCCGTCGCCGTCGTCGTCTTCTCCGCCGCCGCCGCCAGTGTCGTCGCCGCCGCCGTCGTCGTCGTCGTCGTCGCCGCCGCCGCCGCCGTCGTGTGTTGCAGGTGCAGGCGCGCGGCGCCGAGCACGGCAGGCTCGTGGCGCTGATGGCCGACACGGCGGCCCGTGAGCGGCGCGGCGCGCAGGTCAGGGGCAACGACAGGGGGGGGCAGGCACAGGGGGGAACAGGGCTGGACCTAAACGCAAAACGAAAAACAGAACGAGACACAGGTGGAGCAGAATGAAAAACAGCACGAAGACAATACTGAAAAGAACGTTGAGGTCCTGCCCTGGGAGGGCATGCATCGACCCCCAGTCGCCCACTCGTCGCCGATAGGGGCCCGATAGCCCCACCCCGCCCAGAAAGGTGCGGAGTCGCTATCGGGGGCCCATCGCCGATCTATTGGCAATACACACGTGCAAACAAGCATCTCGATCGAGACTTCCTCAACACATCCTCATGCTAGACATCCGCCTGGGCGACAAGGACGCGTGCAACCAAGCGTCTCGCTCGAGACATCCTCAACAAGTCCCGGCGCTAGACCTCTGCCTGGGCAACCTGGAGGCGTGACACCAAGCGTCTCGCGCGAGACATCCTCAAGACTTGGGCACGTGAAAACAAGCATTGCACTTGGTTGCGCCTCTGGCGCCGCTAGGGGGCTCCGGCGCGGATCCAAGAAATCCGTGCGGACCTCCGAGTTGTTCTGTTTGTGTCATGTTTCGTTCCCCTACTCTTGGCAGCACATCGCCGGCGTCAGGTCGATGCATGCCCCCCCCCCCGGGTGCCAGTTCCCCCCGATCGTGCCCCCCGATCGTGCCCCCCTGGTGCCAGTTCCCCCCCCTGGTGCCAGTTCCCCTACGAGTGGCAGCACCTCGCCGGGTGCCAGGTCGCTGCCTCCCCCCCCCCCCCTGGTGCCAGGTCGATGCAGGTGTCAGGTCGATGCATCCCCCCCCCAGAAATCCGCGCGGACCTCCGAGCTTTTGTGTTGATGGCATTTGTCGTTCCCCTACGAGTGGTAGCACCTCGCCAGATGCCAGGTCGCTGCATGCCCCCCCCCCCCCGGGTGCCAGCTCCCCCCGAGCGTGCGTGCCCCCCCCTCGGCAGGAGGCCGAGGTCGCCGCCCGGCTGGCCGCCGCGGTGGAGGACGAGAGGGCCCGCAGGACGCCGCCTCTCTGCTGCTGTTGTCCCGGCCCTCTCTCGCGGGGCGCCGGGGCGCCGCCATGCATGACATTTGACGACCCGGCTCTTTGTTGTCGTCTCTTTGTTGTCGTCCCGGCCCTCTCTCGGGGGTGGACAGACCTCCTACCCTGACACGTCGATTGAGGAATCGGCCGTTTGCAGTTCGCGAGAGGGCGGCGCGGCCGTGATTTTTGCGGGTTCAGGTCCGTCGGTTTCGGTCCCAGGCCGCTTCCACTAAGGGGAGGTTTACTAAAGGGAGGTTTGTCCACCGCCGACCTTCTCGGAAACAGATCAGGAGGGAAAAAAAACTCGTATCGGCCTCGATGGAGCACCCACTGTCGAGGCGATCGAAGCGATTGCGATGGCTTACCACATGCACAGCTCGTCTCGAGTGATCACGCCGCCGCCCAGTGTGGAGGGATGGGCGGGTCATCTTACTGAAGTCAGGCGGGCGGCGTACGCCCTCGTCGAGCTCACTAGGCCCCCTGTCTCTGTATAGGCTCCTGGTGGACCCGTGTGGACTCCTCTTATTTCGAGCGAGATCAGGACGGAAAAAATCGGGGGCGGCAAAGAGGGGGGTGATGATTAGGGGCGGGGGGATATCATGGCGGGGGCCATGATATCTCACCAGATTTTGTGGCGCCCCGTCTTGTTTCAATACGTTCCCTGGCCCCCCCTGGGGCCGCGCACATGTCGCCAGTCATGATTTGCACCCCCTCCTCTTGGACACCCCCCTCTTGGCCGCTCCCGAAAAAGCACACAGACACAATGAATCGTCGATTCCCCAGAAAAATTGGAAAATGTGGGAAGTGGGGGGAAGACAAAAACCCGAAAATATGGAAAATGTTTGGAATCCTGTTATTTGTGTGTGTGCTTATTTGTGTGTCCCAGGGCCCCTTCAACAGAAGGGGGGGGACGATCCTCTCTCTCGGACACTGGCAACGGGAACATCTACTCGGCGGCAAGCGCGGGGGGGAGGAGGGGAGAAGGGGAAGGTCTTCTCGGACGGCGGCGGGACTTCTCAGAAGCCCTCGCGCCTTCTGAGAAGTGTTCTGTCTCGGCCCTTCCTTGCAATTGGAGCATCTACCCTGGGCCTCCTAGATGGGGTCCGAGTAGATGAGGTCGGAGGATCGCGCCGCATCGGCTTTGCATCGCCGATGCGGCTCGATGTGGAGCCCGACTTTCGCCACGCCGACGGCGCCAATGCATCGCCGACACCGCTGGTGCATCGCCAGTGAATCGCCGATGCATCGATGATGCGGCGCGATCCTCCGACGAGCGGGCCTGCAGGATCTCGTGTTTTGTCTCGTCCCGTTCTCCCGAGGAAGACGAAGGAAAACAACGACATAAACATAAACTTTTGGCGCTCCGCGCGACTTGCTTGGATCCGCGCTGGGACCCCCCTGGCTGGGACCCCCCTGGCTGGCTTCTTTATGTTCCCTCTTCGCTTTCTTCACGATCCATGTTTGATCTCATCGCCACGCGTTCAACCGCATCGCACGTGCACAGGTTAAGTTACCCAGCTCTCCTCTGTTGGATCATCTTGTTGTATAACTCATTGCGGTCTCCTCTCCTTCCTTCTCCCGCCGACATCCTTGCCTCCCACTGCCTTTTTACCTCCCCACTGCCTCCTGCCTCCGACCTGCCTCCTGATACTTCCTGCATGCCTGCCTGCCTCTTGGGTGGTGTCTCTCACCCTTGACCCCTTGGGTGATGTCCACTGCCCACGGATCGCCACTGTCGTAAAGTCCTGGGAGGTGCTGCAGCCTCGCCCTCCATCGGTGGTGCCTACTGCGCACAGCCACTGTCGCGAGCTTTTATGGGATTCCAGCGGAGTGCGGTCCCTAAGGGTATCCAAACCTGCCGCGGGCGGGTGAGCAAGGCGAGTGAGGAGGCCGAGGAGCGACGCTGGTTTCAAAAACGCCATACCTAGGATGTGGGGAAAGGGCAAAGTTAGGGAAGGAGAAGCGGCACCGGCAACCACGACACTATTGACCTCCAATTGGATCTCATCCCCTCCTGGTCACACGCTTCCCCACGGGAGGGGGACAAGCCCTGGCAACAGGCGGTACCGCGAATACCGTAGGTGCATCACATAAGAAATCCGCCTGTCAGCAGCTGCGGCACTGAAAAAGTGGTGTTCCCTGATATGGCTCTGGGCACCCGCAGAAGCCCTGGGACACGATAGGAAGCGCAGATCTTGCCTACAAACACGCGCCCCTCGATTTCCTAGAGCGGGATCTAAAGGAGGAGGAGGAGGAGGAGGAGGAGGAGGAGGAGGAGGAGGAGGAGGAGCAGGAGCAGCAGGAGGAGCAGGAGGAGCAGGAGGAGGAGGAGCAGGGGGCCGCCCCAGGAAGCGCAGCGCGCCAGACGACATGTCCTCCGTGAGGGAGGGCCTCCGGAGCCTGACCCGGGAGGTCCTCGCCCTGGCCAGCGCGCCGGCGCCCGCGCCGAACCCGTTCGGTCGGCGCCGGGCGCTCGTCCTCGAGGACCACCCTTTTTTTCTCTCGTTTGGGTCCGGAGGCAGTCATTCCTCTCACCTCCTCCTCCTCCCCTCATCCTATCCTCCTCCTCCTCCTCCTCCTCCTCCTCCTCCACCGCGGTTCTATCGGCTTGCGCTGTCCACCCGCATCTAGGGCGCGCCAGGATTTCGCCACGCAGCTGCATGGCAGGATGTGTTCAGCTCCCCCCGGCAGCCTGCGCCCATCGCCCGCGGCATCTGCCCTGTCGTCTGCCAGGGGAAGAGCGAGAACCAGATCGCCCTCTCTCCAGATGCCGCGCCGCACCTATCTAACTCTGCCCTGCCCGCTGTCTCGCGAGGGGACTTCAACGGGGCCCCCGAGGTTCTTCATGGGCATGGCATCCTCGGGCGCCTCCGCGGGAATTGGCCCCCGGCCCCCGGTGATCTAAGGTTCTCGAGCGGGCCCCGGGGGCCCCGAACACCACCACGATTCCATCGCGCCGGGCGGCCCCAGCCAAGCTGCCAAGCACTTCCCGCGGATCGAGGAGACCGCCACGTCCCATCGCTTGCCTTACAGCCTTGAGCTTCACATACAGTCGGGGCCCTGAAGAAGGAACCCTGTTCGTTGGGGAGGACTTATGGACCTCCGGCTGCCCGGGTCCGCGGGGTCCATGGTCCGGGTCTGGGGTCCGGGGTCTGGGGTCCGGGGTCCGGGGTCCGGGGTCCGGGGTCCGGGTCCGGGGTCCGGGGTCCGGGGTCCGGGGTCCGGGGTCCGGGGTCCGGGGTCTGGTGTCCGGGCCCGGGGTCCTGGGTCCTGGGTCTGGGGTCTGGGGTCCGGGGTCTGGGGTCCGGGGTCCGGGGTCCGGGGTCCGGGGTCTAGGGTCCGGGGTCCGGGGTCCGGGGTCCGGGGGCCGGGGTGTGAGGTCCGGGGTCCGGGGTCCGGGGTCCAGGGTCCGGGGTCCGGGTCCAGAGTCCGGGGTCCGGGGTCGGGCGGGTACGTCCGGGCCCGGCCGGGGTCCAGGGTCCGGGGTGCGGGGTGCGGAGTCCGGGGTCCAGGGTCCGGAGTCTGGGGTCCGGGTCCGGGGTCCGGGGTGCGGGGTCCGGGCCCCAGTAGACAACAAATAGATATACTGGGAGTGTCTATCTGTGGCGCGCGCCTTGAGTAGCCAAATGGCAACGAATTTGAGTCGGATCGATCGAAATATGTTTTTTACCTAACAGCGAAGATTGATAGGTTTCTGATAAGGTCAAAAGAGAGCATCATGACTCCCCAGGGGGGTCTTGGCGGCATCCGAACAGGGATCCGCGGAAGTCGCTTGGTCCCAGAACTCCATTCCCGGGCCACATTCTGAATGCCCGGAGCCAACTGTAGGCCATTTCGTGGTCTTCGAGTTCCCAGAAGTCCAGTCCTGGGCATGATTCTGAATGCCCAGAGCCAACTGTAGGCCACTTCGTGGTCTTCGAGTTCCCAGAACTCCAGTCCTGGGCATGATTTTGAATGCCCGGAGCCAGCTGTAGGCCACATCGTGTTCTTCGAGTTCCCAGAACTCGATTCCCAGGCCACATTTTGAATGCTGAGGCAGGCTGATGCTGAGGCTG